CATGCTGATAAGTCTTGTGGTATTTGAAAGTTTAATTGGGTAGCTCATCTTAGTTTCAAAAATCAGGTACACCATTCCAATTAAACATTGCTGCAGGATTTGATGCCCTGAGTCTCAGTACCTGCACAGCTCCCTCTGCCCTTGGTGTAAAATCAACTCCACGCAGATAAACCCAGAAATAAACCAATGTATTTTTCTCTTAAATAGGTAGTCTTTGATGATAAATGGTTACACTCTGCTATGAATGTGACACAGATGAGGAAATTGTGTACTAGAAAACATTTTCCATTTTCATAGCTCAGTAGTTGTTTTGTCTCCAGCTGCTCAGGAGACTGGGCAATGGTAAAAAAGTCAATAGAGATGTTCCCACTTAGTGATGAAAACCATCAGATTGACAGACACTGAAATAAAGATCTTGTCATCACATGTGAAGAAATCCAGTGTGGACAGTGCCCTCTGCAACATTCCTCCCCTTTGCCTGAGACTTGCCGCTCTGAAATAGATGCCTGGCAAGATGGGGAGGTGATGTTCTCTCTGTTTTTGGAGGCACTCGATGTGGTGCATGCAAATTACTTATTTCCGTTCTCCCAGAGGAACAGAGTAGAAGAGAACACAGCCCTGAATGTGCTGGTAATCTGCTCTGAACATGGACTGCTCTCTCTGACATGGATGCTCACTCCAGTGTGCATTCAGGCTTTTCCACTTAATACTTGCCTGCCTTAAAACTACAAAATGGATTGGGAGCAGTCACACAGCCATGAAATGGTTTTTGTCCCTCATCTTGCCGTTATGTGTCATGCCATTGGCAATTTCAGTTTAAAGAGAAGACACTAAAGCCGTAACACCTTCTGACTGTAAGTCAAACAAGGCAATTACACACACCCATCCCTGAGAAGGTTGTCTCTAGAGCAGGGACTCCTCTTCCCAAAACAAAAGTGGCAAAGCCAGTTCAGAAAACACTAGGAAGATAAATACATTTCAGAAGTCCTAGTAACAAATGCAAAGTCTGGCTTGTAAGCTGGAGTTGTTAAAGGACTCCAGGTCAGGACTTTTTGATGAAGGAGCAAAAATCTTTCGATCATGTCAGATAAACATGACCTAAAAGGAAGGGTACTGGGATTTGTTGAAAGAGACAGATTTACATTGATCTGGTCAGACTGCTAGATTTAAATCAGTTTTCTCCATTCTGGGAGGAGTAGGAGAAATGTGCCAGTGGTGTCACAGAGGAAAGTCCTGCTTTGCACTAAAGAGTTTGGGCACACGGACAGCAACCAGGCTCATCTGTAGGAGAAATCCTAACCTAAGAAAAGCCCTTTTTAAGAGAAGATGCCACAACAGAGTCTACCCAATTCAGAGCTAGGACTGACAAGCTGTTCAGAATCTCTGTACTGTTAACACCTGACAAACATAAACGTCAGTTCACTCGCCGGAGAAATGAAGGATACATCTGCCAGCAATAAATAGATGGTGAAACGGCTAGGAGAGGCAATCAAAGGGTCTAAAATGAATTTGAGATATAAAAGAAGAATTAAGACTACTAAATAGTCCTATTCAGAAATTATACAAATAACAACTGAAAAAAGTGAGTTAAAATTATCCTAAAAACACCAGGCTGGCTAATATATCTGGAGTTCAATGTACATCAGTTTTGTGCCCCTAGCACTTTAGCTACAAAGCATTCTTACGTATTTGTGTCAATAATGATCAATGCAGCATGACCAATGTACCTTGAAATACCAAAATTAAGCAACACAAAATAATGAATATTTTGTAAAATAATTTTCTTTAATGAGTGAGTTAAGATTTTGGCTGTTTTCTTCATATTTTGGCTTGGTGCAGAGCAAATGGTTCTAGAAGATTTTTCTGAGTGGGTGACACTATGCAGCACATGGCAGTGATTTAAGTCAGCCGTCACACTGCATTAAAACAGAAATTTTACATTAAAAGTACAGCTAAATTATATAATCCTGAGTATTTTTCTCATGTTTTTTGCAGCATGAAGTTCAAAAGGAGCATTTATTTTCTCTGTAGCTGGAATCTGAAAAAATAGCCAGAATTACTTAAATTACTTTTCACACCAGGAGGCAAAGCTCTAAAATAATGCCTTAGATTACTTCACAGTTTGGATTAACAATGCCTTTCTCTTCCTTTTCAGCTGTATTTGAACAACAGAAAGCTACCAGAAATAGCTAATATTCTGCTATCATAAAAATGTTGCAGATGTGGTTTGCTGTCTGTCCTTCAGATTTTCATTGAGTCTAGACAATGTTACTTTGTGTGCTTTTTGAAAATAGTGTTCTTCACTTCCTATTGATCCACTAAGACAGTATCTTAGGCTCCATAAAGAGAGAAGCTGGGCAACTACCTAAAACCTCCAGTAATATAAGGACTGAAGAAAGAATTGTGAGAAATGATGAAACTTCCTTCTGCCACATTCCCCTGGGGAGGCAGAAAGATGGGGGGAAAGCAGGCTTTCAGTGGAAAGAGGAAACCAAGCAGAATTTCATGCTGCTCTGAGCAGGGTTAGACATATGTACTGTACCCTGTTAGAGAGAGAAAGAGCCAGGAAAATGAGTCTGTGTTTCCAGATAGCGGGGGTTTCTAAAGCGTGAAGAATCAGAATGGGCATTCAGGTCAGGATACATGAACTCAGGTCCAGTTTGGGATGAACGGCACATGATGCACCAGGACTAAAAGGAATTTTAAGCTTTTGCCACTTTCTGGAGTTGCTTGTATCTGTGACACATGTTGATGTCCTCAAGAGGCTTTAATATGGGTTGTGAGGTCTATCTGCTTTCCCTTCATACCTGAATCATCCCCCAGATTGCTTGCTGGGAGCAACTCACAGCTCAAGAACCCAGTCCTGTGGATTGTGAGTTACACAGAGGGATATCAGTTCAGGTCCTCCATCCCAATATACAAAATGCTCGCGTCACAATACCACTGAGCCTCAGAGTTCACACTGCCAGCCTGAATCTCTCGAATGGCTATGGAAGCTCAGGGACTGTAAGAGTTGGTTGGGATCTCTACTTCTGGCTGAGCTTTGGTGCATCAACCAACCTCTAGCGCAATTCAAGGCAAGCAATGAGCTTCTTTCAGCTCCATTCCAGTTTCAGCTAAACACCCGATGCGTCATTCAGATGCCACCCTTGAGTACTCAACACTTGGTGGAGTGCAGTTAGTTCCCAATGTTTGGTGACACCCTGAATCTCCCATACAGGAAAATGAAACATTTTATGTAAGTATCTGACATTAAACTGTCACAATCTGCTACAGTTACTGAACTTTGTATTAAGTATAATGCATGGTACTACACCAGTGTGGGTGGACAACATAATCAGGATCCTCAAAGGTACCTAAATCTGTAAGCAACCTACACACTGTGCCTGCATGAAAGGACATGTACTGGTTGATGACAGCTTCTCTTCTAAAAGCACTTTCAAAAAGCATAATTGGAATTTTTAACTCATGAATCCTCCTTCTATCAGTGACTCCTTCTCCCACCATGCCACAGCACAGATCTTCCATTTGATGTGCAATCTACCACCTGGTCTTTCATCACCTGATATGTATGGCATGGTTATATTTGGAAGGATTGGGACTGGGAGAGGAAATATTAGGCTTTTCATGCTTAGTAGTTAGAGAATTTTTTTTTTTTTTGGTGAATGAAACAAGCTTGATTTTGTGTGC